CCGATGACTCCAAATGAGACTGTTTATTTAAGTTGCTCTAGCCTACTTCACATTCCCGTCAAAGTAGGAAACAAACATATGATGGCTCTGGTAGACAGCGGTGCTTCTGTGTCCATTATAAATGCCAAGCTGGTGGATGCAAATCGCTTGCATAGTGGAAGAATTCTACGAGTACAAGGCTATGATGGAAAAGTAACGTTGCATGATCAGTGGGCCTTGGTAAACATCGAGTTCCAGGGTCAGCAAATAGAGAGCGAAGTGTTGGTGATAGAGGGGGTAACGTACGACTTTTTGCTATCAAGACCAGATATAAAGAAACTAAAGATCAACGTGTACTGGGACGATGTGGTTCTAGTAGAAGGAGTAGCAAGGAACGAGACAAATCAAGGTAGACAAGATAATCTACGAGTTGTCAAGTGCGCGGCGGATATCGCAACGACCTACCCTGAACTTGTATGCATAGGAAGCTATCCTCAGGCGATGAAGTCCCACAAGGTTCCTTTCGAACTCGCTGACAAGACCGTCATCCGGAAAGCACCTTACAATATGTCAAGGGAGCGAAAGATGTGGCTCAAGAAAGAGTTGCAGGAGATGCTAGATGCTGATATCATACGACCTTCGGTATCACCCTTCGCTTCTCCCATAACGATCGCACCGAAAGAAGACGGAACCTTCAGATTATGCACCGACTACAGGGTTCTCAATCGTCAGACAGAACTCATACCATTTCCTATGCCGAAGATCGACACAATTATAGATGAGACCGGGGGTTGCCGACATTTTTCCCGCATCGATTTATGCAAAGGTTTCTGGCAGATCCCACTAACCGAAGAAACAAAAATGTACACCGCTTTTATCACGCCATTCGATCTCTACGAATACAACCGGCTCCCTTTCGGTTGGAAAAACTCGCCAGCGTGGTTCCAGAAGATCATGAACGACGTCCTAAAGCCATTCCTTGGTGTTTTTTGTAATGTGTACATAGACGACATTATAGTCTTCTCCAAAACAGAGGCTGAGCATCAGGACCATCTGTCTCAGGTGTTAAACGCCTTGAGCTTGGCACATCTCAAGGTTAACTTTAAGAAGAGTGTATTCTTTCAACAAAAAGTGGTGTTTCTTGGAAGAGTCTTCGATGGGAACACCAAAAGCACAAAACAAGAGTCCGTCGAGAAGATCTCCCAGTTGAAGAAACCATATGACGTCCATTCACTGCGTGTGTTTTTGGGATTGGCAGGACATTTCCGATCTTTCATAAAGGACTTTGCTGTCAAAACTAGATGCCTCACGCGCTTAACGCAGAAAGAAGTTCCCTTTGAATGGAGTGACGAATGTGAGAGAGTCTACCGTGACTTGGTGCACAGAATTTCTTCTGACCCCGTTCTGCGTATACCAGATTTCACTTTACCCTTTGAATTGAACACTGACGCCTCACATTATGGGACTGGTGCAGTGTTGTATCAAAAATGTATTGAAGCATCTGGCCGAGAAAAGCGACACGTAGTCGGTTACTACAGTTACACTTTCAAGCCGTCTGAAACAAACTACACTACTACGGAAAAAGAAGCACTGGCGGTTCTGAAGGCCGTTGACTACTTCCGCACGTACCTGGAAGGTACGAAGTTCACTTTGTTCACCGATCACCAGGCACTCACTCATCTCTTGAATATGACCCAAACTAAAGGGCGTATCGCCAGATGGGTGAATTACTTGCAGCAATTTGACTTTACCATCTCGCACCGACCAGGACCGCTTTTAACCGATGCAGATGCTCTATCAAGATTGATGGTACAAAACAACACAGAAAAATCTGAAGAAATCAATGAAGTGAAGCTGTGGGAAGGCTCAGAACAACTGGTTTTTACGGAAGGTCGGTATCAAGTCCCACCAACTCTTGTTTCCAAAGTGCTTTACTTGTACCACGATAGCCCAGAATCTGGAGGACACGACGGCTTTTGGCGTACCTACAACAAGTTGGTCAAGAGGTTTACGTGGCCTCACATGAAGAAAGACGTTAGTCAGTACGTTCGTTCATGCCATGTGTGTCAAGTACACAAAGTCAAGTATAAACAGCCTACGGACACCATGATACTACCTTGCCACTCGAACGTGCCTTTTGAAGTAGTTCACCTGGATTTCGCCGAACTTAACAAGAAACGGGAAGGAGTCAGAAAAACGCAAGCTTTTCTGCTGGCCATAGATGAATGCACCAGGATGGTCGCGGCACGAGCAGGAAAAGAAGATGCAAATAGCGTCATAACCCTTCTCGAAAGGGACATGTTTAGAACTACGCGGACAATCGTATGCGATAACGGCCCCGCGTTCAAGAGTGAAAAGCTAGTAAGATGGGCTCGAGATCACAATGTATCGATCAAGTTCTGTGCGCCATACCATCCTGCGGCGAATGGGCTTGCAGAACGTGCCATACGGGACGTGAAACAATACATCAAGATGTACGATAGTTTTCCTGGGGGATGGAAATGTTCTTTAGAAGCAGCCGTAAAACATCATAACCGATCCTACACCAGTGGCTTGGGGTGCAGTCCACAGTACGCTTCTACAGGAGAGACCCCTATTCTGCAGGCAGACCGTGAGTTGGGACTCTTGGAAAACCTCAAGATTGTCGAGGAGAGGCAACAAAAATCACAGGAGGAGAGGTACCGAAAACGAATGAAAAAGAATTTCGACAAGAGGCATCGAGCAGACATGCCAGACATTCAAGTCACCGACCTCGTACTAGTGAGAAAAGGAATAAGAGATTCCAGTGCCAAATTTTATGGGCCTTACTTTGTGACCAAGACAGCCACCCAGAACGGAATTTTGAAGACTGTCTGGTACACTGGTGAACGTGGATCTGTTGAATGTGCTTCAATTGGGAATGTCTTCAAGTATTACCCCAGGAGGGGTAATTAAAAGAAAGCGGGAAGGGTGAAGCGGTATGAGCCTTTGGACAGAAGATGAAGAAGCGCGAGGGCCGGGGCAGGAAAGAAGAGGAGGATGAAGTGAAAAAAAAATAAAGCAGATTAAGATGGACGCCAGTTCCATACTGAAGCTTTAATGCTGTTCCGTTATTTTAAGTAGGAACACTACATGGTTCATGGAGCTGATTTCAAAATGGTATGCACTGATGTCTTCGCGGCATCCAACACTGGCCCTGAGTCGGAGAAGTAGGGCTAAGTACTCCGAAGCCCTAGATACATTACACACAGCAATAGAAACCATCAGAACTATGAAAATGGGTGCCACATCCCATTGGAAACCGTCGCAAGCAGGTGTACTCATATCAACTACAGTTGTACTTCGCCTCCAAGACGTTCTTTTAGGAGACGAAGGCTATGAGTTTTTTCTTACGAGCAGGCTCCTGCAGGACTGCTTAGAGAACCTCTTTTCTGTGGTGCGGCTTATGAAGCCGGTTCCCAATGCCTACGATCTCAAGTGCGCTCTGAGACTGGTGAGCGTAAGCCAATTTTTGCATACACCGAGGACGACCAGCTACGAGCTTGATGACAGGGAGTACCTGGTGGACCTGCTATCCCAGGGGAAGGAAGCCTGCGTCGAGAAGGAAGCTCAAGAAATCGATGATTCAGAGATTTTGTTCATCGAAGGATTGTCGTCCACAGAATGCAGTATTCTCTTTTACCTAGGAGGATTTATTTTGAAGGGAATTTTGACATCTGTGAAGTGCGCAAAATGCAAAGGTGCTCTCCTTGGAACTGCCAACGACGAGCATGCTTCGCTGACAGCACTGAAAGAGTACGTTTCAGATGGAGGCAACCTCATCTACCCCAGCAAGGGAGTTATGAAAGCCTTGATAGACTATGAGGAGCATTTTGCTGCCATAAACTCTTGGTGCACGGACAAAGTAGTCACGATGAAGTCGCCGCTTCGTTCACTCACCGCATACCTAAACAAGGTGCACCGCCGCAGCTTGTGTGTATGCGCGGAGCACGAGGACAGTATATACCGACTGCTCACAGAGAGGTACGCAAGAATAAGGCTGCGCATTCACCTTCGGCAGGTTCCAGTCGGGAGTTGCAATGGACATGCAAGCAAAACATGTGCCGGCGTCAACCTCTCATGAGAAATGGACACGCCAAGATAAGCTGTATGCTTAAAAGGTTTCGGCTCACGTGGGCACGCTTTTGACTCTTGCATTTTTTTATTTTTAAACATTTCATTTCGTACTGCATTTGGTTTGTCGTGTATCTGACTTTGATTTTCACTAGTGGGACAACGCAGCATTAAGGCGCACAAATAAATGGCCTGTTCACTGAAATCGTGGGTGTCGTTTCATAAAGGTACACTGGTAAAGCATGTTACTCTCGGGTATGCTGCCTGCACAGTGCATGAAATGGTGAGGCAGGGGAAGGTGGTACCGAATGTCAGATAATGTGTGCGTGTGTGTGTGTTATATATACACACACACGCAAGTATATAAAGTACAGCGATTCCTGCCTTTGCTATTCGGCTGATTCACAAAGACCCAAATATTGGATTCCTTTCAGCAAGCGTAGTAATAAAAGTTCATGCGCCCCTCCGTCTTAACGACGACAACGGTTTAACGCGAATCTTTCTGGTGTGGGAGTTCGTGGCTCATTTCATTCAGTCTATGTCAGCCCCTGGCGCATTGTACAAGCACAGGCCACCAGTTTGTATGACGTGCGTTGTTCCATTTAACAATTAGGCAACAACAGCACTAAGAGGTGTCCAAGTTGCACCAAAAAAAAAGCTCGCCAACGAGTACTTCTTTCCTACCATACGCGAGCACCGCAAGCGGTAATGCGCTTCGCATGCTGCCCCACTACGGCAGGAGCCGTAATGGCGGCCGTCGTAGCAGACGACGCGGCTGTCCTCACCCTCAGCGGAGCGCGCGGGCATCAAGGCACCCTAAAGCCGGATTGCTCGTAGCGCCCTCTATCGCAACTGCGTACGGAGCTTCAGGAAAACAGCGGCGGTCGCGCCACTCGACCTATTCTAGTACACTCTAGTACAGCCGTGGGTACAGCTATATCAATCTATCCATCCAGCTTTCCCTGTCCGGAACATTGTCGTGCGCGATCCTTTTGGTTATTTTGTTTGGCCACCTTAAGTTTGTGCCGAGACTGTACGCTATGTTGGTATTCAGAACATGTGGTACAAGGCGTGCTTTCTCCAGAAGCAGTGTTGGCCGAATATTACATGACGGAGTACGTCAGAGAAGGTGAGGTCTCCGGCGCCGATCCTTTGTACGGAAGGAGCGTTGAGACGTAATCCGGAATAGCAACAAGCGTCAATCAAAAACACTGCTTCGTTATCTCTGAGCGCCTGCGACGGACTCTGCTGAAGCCAACGACATGGGTTAAGTCGTTCCGTCCGCTACGACGCATTTATTTATGACCATGGGTGTGTTGCTGAGGGTTCAGCGCAGTGCTCGCAGCGTCCTACTGCTGTCCACGCGGCGCGCGCTGTTGCGCTTTTGTCGATGTCATCCGGGGTCTGGCTTTCTGATCAGCCTGTTTCTCGTGTCTCTGTGGTTGAGCGCGTTGCGTTGTCCCACGTGGCTGAGAGGCGACCACATCGTTTACTCCGAGGCCGACATCGAACACAACACGAGCGAGTGTCCGTGGACACCTCGCGAAGAGTACCAGTTGTCTTGGCAGAGCACGGACTCGCGCATAAGGTGTCCGCCACCCGCAGACCACGGCGTTAGTGCTGTCATTGTGCAGAGGAGCGTGAACAGAACGCTTCTGAAGGAACTAGAAAGCAAACTGCTTCCGGGCGGCCGCTGGTCGCCGCCTTCCTGCAACTCGCGACACTTTGTGGCAATCGTCGTTCCGTACCGTGACCGGAGCGAGCACCTGGACCTGTTCCTGCAGCACATGCACCCGTTTCTGCAGCGGCAGCAGCTGCAGTACGGCATGTTCGTAGTCGAGCAAAGTGAGCGGCACGCGTTCAATCGGGCCAAACTGTTCAATGTTGGCTTCACCGAGGCCCTTGCCCGAGACAGCTACTGCTGCTTTGTCTTTCACGATGTCGACCTGCTGCCCATAGACGCGAGAAACGTGTACCGTTGCGAGCGGTTTCCGCGGCACCTGAGTTCTGCCATCGACGTGTTCCGTTTCGTGCTGCCGTACCCGGATCTCTTTGGTGGCGCCGTCGCCGTGAGGGCTGATCAATTCCGCGAGCTGAACGGCTTCTCCAACGAGTTCTTCGGCTGGGGAGGCGAAGACGACGACCTCCAAAGGCGCATCCGAGCCCGGGGCCTGTCTGTCATACGTTGGCCGAGCTCTGTGTCGCGCTACACCATGCTGGCCCACACCAAGGCGAAGCCCAGCCTGCAGAGACAGGAACTTCTCAGGAATGCCGAGTCCAGGTACGAAATGGATGGCCTCAACAACCTCCGCTACCAGGTCCTCGCCCTGGAGGAGAAGCCTTTGTACACGCGAATTCTGGTGAACGTCGATCCACCGGCCCAACCAGAAGGCATTCCAGGGCTGGTAGACATGCGGCATGTCAAAGGAAAGCACTCACTACTGGGTGCAGTCTGATATTGTGCTGTATTGCACGTTCATGCTCAATGCCGAATGTATGTACAATTGCAGCAAATCTATGCTTTTAACCCTCCAGAACAAGAAAGATGGGTGCAGTGTAGTTGACAGCTACTCAATAGCACTGACAGTTGGGCAAGTTGGTGTTGGTTCATAGTTGTGAATGGCGCAAAAAAGCACATGGTACACAGATGAAGAAAACCACACAGACTACAGGCACCGGTTCATAGTTATGAACGGTGCAAAAAGGCACACGGGACACCATGTGCTTTTTTGCGCCGTTCATAACTATGAGTTGACAACTACTGTACTTTCTGCAGCTGCGACACTTAGCAACAGTAATAGTTGGTCTGTTGCTCGGAGGCTTGTATGTGATAAAAAACTTGTATATGTTTCGTGCTGCACTTGGGTGAAATGTTGGCACTAATCAGCAGCTTGATTTAGATAGAAGGAGGGTGTTATTCAGTGCAATAAGAGCTGGTGCAGTGATCCATGTGATCTCGCATCCCGTTGTGCTGTGGAAATTGTACCAACTGGTACTAACAAGCGAATGACAGCACAGTGAATGGGAATGTTTGATGGAGGCAGCTTGCAGTTTAGTGCAGCTGTGTGTTAGAACCTGAAATCTTCAGTCTCACCTTATAATTGGCAAATGTAGGAAATCCCTAAGAAATTTATAGTGTCATCCTGAATGCTGCGTTATTAGCTGCATCGAACAGTAGTTTTGCACACCTCATCGCATCTCATGTTTTTCAAATGTGCGTACAAAAAGCAACACCTTATGAGCAAGGTCTAGATTGAGGTTACAGCTGTGCCAATACAGTGCATGTCTGTTCATGTGCCATTAACAACACTTATAGAGCAGCCTCTGGGCACATAGCCTGACACTCGACACACGAGCAAATGTGCAATAAAAGGTTATATATTTCTTGATACTGAAAAGCATGCTGTCATCACCTAGAAGACTGGGTGGCCTGCTGCTGAATGCTTATATTTGCACCACATTTAAAAGCCCTGTGGCTGTGCTAAGTTTGCTTCATTCTTGCACGTAGCTCACCTTTAATGAACTGGCATAGGAGTTGGCTTTGAATATAAAACTTGGTGATTTCATTGCTTATTGTCTTGAGTGCAAGCTTGTAATTTCAATTCATCTTTGCACTAGCGCTGCAAATTCAGAGCTTCACGTGGGGGTCAAGTGACGGCTGTGTTTAGTACCACAGTTTGCTTTACAAGGCAAACATTAGGTGAACGCACATTGTTTTAATACTATTCCAGAAGTATTGTAGCAATTTTTCATGCCAAGAAAGTGCCTTACTCTTTACGGTCACAAGCCCTTATTTAAAATGAGGTCATTTCATTGAAAGGCCATTATGTACCTTTCAGGCACCATGCAGAAAAAAAAAAATGCAGGTCTGAGTATCTTTTTTAACTGCTTCTCAATATTCTAGCATGCCAGTGGTACTTGAGTCTAGTATAATATTGCTTAAAGCACTTTCCAGGGCCTGCACTTGCAAATATTTCAGCAGGGGATGGTTTCTTTCACCAAGAACAGTGCAGTTGCCATTTGTAATCTAATGCACCACTACAGGAATGTCACATGGCAGTGTGGCTCCGACAAATGACCACAAATAGTTGTTTTAAAAGAACTTATGTCATGGAGTTCCTGCAATTCTTTAGTGCAATCCAAAAGGCCAATCCTCATTCAAAACAATGATGTGGTGTGTGCAGTTATGACCTTTTACCACCTGACAAGCTGCACTAAGGTTTTTGCCAAATTTGTGTCTAAAGCTGGAAATTTTGGCCTGTAAACAAGCTAATGATACCCACACATGCATTATGTTCTCCCAATTAAGCTAGAGAGAGTTTCACTATTGAGCAAGACTTTCAAAGTGCTACACATTTCAAGCTGGAGCATGCTGTCATCACCTAGAAGACTGGGTGGCCTGCTGCTGAATGCTTTTATTTGCACCACATTTAAAAGCCCTGTGGCTAAGAAGACTGCCTTTCCACCTCTTGTTTCATAATTCGATGTAACTTCATTGTTTACCGACATTGTTATCAATAATGTATTTTTTCCGTAGTTCTTGCAGTAGAAGACATTACAAAAAAGTTTTTTTGCTCTGCCCACTTGAGGACACCAAAACTATAGACGCACAACCAAGCGAATCTTTGTGAAGCTGCACTGTACTCCAATGCAAGAATCTTGCCTCTCACTGATCTGAGCCGACTATGCGAGCACTGTTTATGTGCCGAAGGCTCAAGCGAGTGTAGAGGCAATGAAAGTTCTGCCACGTCATTGCAATTTCTGCCATGACGACTGACAGCCTTGTACGATGTGAACAGGCTTCTCTCATATTTTCAACCACCGCCCCATAATTAGCTCTGGCTTTGCTCTGCTGTGAAAGCTACTCGAAGGAAGAGGCCAGGTGTCAACAGTGCTGCTGCTGCAGACTGCACCACTTTTACTGACTCTCTCAAGATGCCCAGCTGCTCCCACTTTTGCCAAAAATTACTACTTGAATTTCCTCGCGCATTATAAGAGATTGCACACTCCAGTCATTTCTCGTTTTAGAGTGAAAGCTGTTATGAGATCAGAACAGAGGTCACGTGCGGTGCCATAGTTGTCCGTAACTAGTACTGCAAGAAATAAACACCAAGGACACAATGGGATTCTAACCCGGGTGCATTTCTTGCCAGATATTCTAAACTGGCCTTATGCAGGCCTGATGTCGGGAAAGGAATCGGGTTAATATTGTTACGGGAAACATGAATAATAAAGCATTTCAGAACATCAAAGGAACAACAACGCATCACACAATGCGAATTGTGTAATGAGTGGGTCGTTCAATGCTTCAACCTATTACGAAAGCTTGTTCTTGATCACCTGTTAACTGTGGGGCATACGAACCTCAGGCATAATTTTTCATCGTAGTCAGCCACTGCATAAAAAGGTTGCGCAAAATTCCTAGCAAGTGTGTAGCGGATACTACGCTTCTCCGAAGAATGACGAAGGATAGCATAGTGAATGCTGGCCTACTACATAAAAAGTATGATTATTCATGGCGTAGTGGGTGCCCAGCAAGTGTGCTTGTAGCAGTTACCCAATGAGAAAAGGCTCTGAAAGGTCGCTATTCCAGCTTTCACTGTGCTGAAAGTTCAGTGCAGGCCTGGCTTTTTTTTTAAGTGCTTCAGCTTCTTATTAAAAAAACTGGAAATAGGAGTGCGCAGGTGATTAAAGGTTTTGGCCATCCACAGTGCCCACATAATTGTCTACTTGAACCTCGCACTAGCAGTATCCAAAAGCAGACCCTGTGATATTGGTGGCTGTTATTCATAGAAAATACTCCCTGCGATTATCACCTAGGATCCTCCAAGAATTGGGTAGAAGAGCATCTTATTCACTCTTACAATGTGCTGTAATGATCTTTCTGCTGTGTGCGGTTGTGATGGGATTATATTGAGCATGGTCATCACACCAGCACTTCTGCTGAAGTTGTATTTCATGTCCTACATTTGTTTTTATAGCTTCATTACTAAAGTGCTACAATCTGCAAAATTGACATGCCAGATGCTCGCAAGTATTCATCTGTTAATGTTACCTTAATTTTCATCTGCCTTTTGGGGATACCCAAGCGAAACAATGAATCGGTTTGGATTGATAAATTGTCGTTCATTTTACCACCGTATGTATAATGATGATGGAGAAAACTTAGGCCAATATTTCACTTGAATTCGCACCAGAATTGCCCCCACATACTGTTGCAAATTTCAATGTACATTTTTCATATGGCAACAGTAGCTAAGCAAAATTTTCGGACTCCTGATATGTTAAGTCAATGGCCCATTCAGAGGACAATGTACTCCACCTTTACTTTTACTCATTAGAACTATGTGGAACTGAGCAGATGCCATCAAAATCTATGACATCACAATGTTTGATGCAAAAAGTTCAAGGTGGCATCACCACCCTCAATTTCTTTGTGTGTTAATTGGATTATGAAGCGTTGCCTTACAGCAAAAGTGGCGATTTTAGAAAGCTTTTCTTTTCCTTTCAATGCAGGCATGTTAGATCCAAATGGCACCTGTAATTCATTGAAGTTAAGGAAAGAGACTAGGCTTGAAATAGCAAAACTGGTTGCAATTAGGCTAAGCTTTAGAGAGGTGATGATATTTTGTTTCTACATTGATTCTCGGCGGTTCGTGTTAAACCACAATCACAAACGTCCAACCTCCAGAGGCAGAAACTCCATTGAAACCATAGCAGCGGCCGTTGTAGAAAATCTGTGGCACATACTTGTGGATGATAATGCCTTCTGGACCCCAAAGAGCAAAATCATTTTCGAGATTTAGCAAAGAAATATTTCACCATCCTGAAAACCTTACTTTTATCACGATACAGCGCTTAGTAAGCGAGAAAATATGGGTGGCACCGCCACCTTGAGCTTCCTGCACCAACCACTGTGACGTAAGAAATTTTGAAGGCGTCTACTGGGTCCTACGTAACTTTCAATTGATAAAAATGAAGCACATTGTAATGCGTGGGTGCCACAGGCTTATTATAGAAAGTTTCAGAAAATTTCATCAAGTCAATGTCACAAAGCCGTTGTCGTCCTTTTACCCTGGCCTGCGTCCCTTCGGGTCTCGCCGCCTCCCATTACTCCCGCAGTCTCACCTGAGCCTGTGCGGTCACTGGCTCCTGGGTCGCCATTTCGACCCTCGTCTCTGATCGGGCATAACCCAGTTCCATTTGATCTCGGGCCTCTCTTCCTTTCGTCGACACCTAGTGAGGTGGTACCTTGCTGCGGTACTCCCCGTCGACGAGCCATTTCACGGATTCTGTGACGATTTGGCGTCGTCCTCACCGCCGCCTGATGCTGGGCCCCCTCCGGCCCTCCCGCCGGCGGCAAATGCTCGGCGGCGTCTGCCTTTTCCGCCTCGGCGTCCTTGTCCGTGGACAAGGGGGTGACGGATTCCGACAACGACATCAACACTTCTGAGCAGCCCAAGTCCGCAACTTCGAGCCTCGAGATGACCCCAGGCCATACGTACCACCTCGGTGACCTGGCCCGCCTGCTCCGCTCTCTGCTTTGAGACTCGCCCTGTGACTAGTCGTAAGCCCGCTGGGAGGATGCTCAGAATCTGGCGGTTGCTTTGGCCACCGAAGCGGTGCATTTCCGACAAGTGCGTGCCCGCCGCCAACGCCGCTAGGCTAACCCTGACAATGTGGCGGACGTCCAGCGACTCTACCGCCGCAACTGAGGCTGCACAGTGTGACTCATCTTGGAAGAGCCCTTCTAGACGTGCGTCATCCCTCTCCAGGACCTTAAAGATTACCAAAGTCGCACGTGGTCGGATCGACAAGCCGCTTCAACCCTCCTTCTTCGCCGAGAGCCTGCGCTTGCAGGCGTTGACGTCACGCCATTTAGTCCCGAAGAGGTATTTTTGCGACTCTGCAAATCCAAGAACACAGCACCAGGCAGCGATCGTCTGACATATCACCATTGGAAGGCGGTCAACCCCGAGGAACGGTCCCTGGCTGCATTGTTTATCCCCTGCGTTCATCACTAAGGAACACCGGAATCCTGGTGGACTTCCCGGACCGTCCTGATTTTCAAGAAAGGCGACCCCCAAATCTCTTCAAATTGGCGCCCCATCGCTTTGGGTTGCATGGCATCGAAGCTATACGCCAAGTGCCTCATGGCCCGACTTCAGGCGTGGGTCTTGGAGTTCAAAATCATGTCCTAGTGTCAGAAGGGATTCTTGCCCCACAACGGAGTTTTCGAGCTCAACTACATACTGCAGCAGTGTTTCGACATGGCCCATTTGGGGGTCCCCCGACTTCTGCGCCAAAAATATATATTGAAGTTTCTTAAATCACACGTGGAGATGTTAGTGTGAAATCTAAAAAGGAAACATTATCCTTGATTTTCTTCGCTACTAATTACCTTTGTGAAATATATGACAACAGAGTTGTCAGAGTGCAGTTTGTCAATTTGAACCAAGTCATTGTTTTTATTTAATGTCCCCTTAAAGAGCCTTGTGGCTTAAAATAAACTCGGGGGTCGCTTAAGCTTCGCCTCCAGAAATAGAATGCAATAGTGTGACGGGCCCCGAAAGGGAAAGAAGACAACTCCCCGTTAGTAGCACGATGCCACAAGGAAATCCATACGAATTTCTCAGAAAGAAGACCTCTTGGAACCCGGTACCAAGGCCTTTCTGGGCCGGTCGCTCTGCCAATTGAGCTAACCAGGAAGCTAGCAATTGACAGCGCAAGGGTGAATTCATTGACAACTCGAAGCACAAGAACACAAGTATAGCAAATGAGTTCTGCTGAAACCCGCAAGGTCGTAGAAGGGTTAAAAAAGGAAAGAAAGGCAACCACTCATTTGTAGCACGAAGTGACAAGTAAATCCATTTGTATTTCTCAGAAAGAGAGCTCTTGGTAGTAGCCAAAAAATTCGTCCTGGTACAGGTTTTAAACCCGGGACCAGCTAGGCTTCGCCACTCTGTGAATACCTGAACTACGCGGTAAAGAAAGAAATGCCTTTATGCATAACATGGCCACCTAAACTATCCTAGAATGATACAGTGCAAGTATTTCATGTTTCATACATGAAGGATAAGCGAGAGTAAAAGCATTACTGAAACAGCTTGACTAGCTCTTGCTACCTAAAATGAATGGGTCAAAAGCACTGGCATACAAATTAAATAACAAAAGCATACTTTACAAAAATATGATAATGACAATCAATTACATAATCTAAGCATAAACGGGATACAACAGTTTCCGTGAAGAGAAAAACAAACATCAGAAGCTTAAAAAGCTATGTGTACATGTGTTACAAAATGCAGAAGAGGTGAAACATACAAAAGGGTAAACGACATCATGATGCAATTAATATGAATAATGATGCAACATTTTTTGTGGTCATGTTTTCTATATTTACATCAATGCTTCAATCAAATAATTCAGCATTCTGGGAATAGTATTGTGTACCATTTGGTCACCATATTTTGTATGTGATTGGTGTATAAACGAGAGGTTACGCATATGGGTATCATATTTATTCTCTGAAGGTTGTAGGTTGGCTAGCTCAGATAGTACAGTTTTTTGCTTCGTCTTTTTTTATAATCCCATAATTGTTGTAATTATAAAGATTTTGAAAACGAATTAGTTTGTATTTTTGTTGCACGTATACAACTGATTGATAAGGTTCTTTCTTAGCGATAATTTTTAGGAATATATTTTGAATTCTACTGAGCTTATCAATATTTGTTTGTATTGTGTCCCCAAACTATAAAGCAATACTTAACATAGGACATAAACAAAGAATAAATTATGCGCATTGTTTTAATGGAAGTAGATGAATATTGCAAAAAAATATATTAAGTACACGAACAGTTTTTGTCGCTGCTTGCTCTACATGCGTGTCCCATAGCATGCTGTTTGAAAATACCGCACCTAATGTTTACACATCCTCCCCCATTTGAATCAGATTGTTATTAAGTTAGAGCGGAGAGGTTACTTGTACCTGCTTGCCTTTTGCTCGAAACATAACCGCATTGGTTTTTTCTGTGTTTACTAATAGCCCATTGGAACATGCTCACTTATATATCTTTTTTATTATATTATTTCCTCTTTCAATCAACTGGTCAGCATCATCATGTGCAAAAAGTACGCTTGTTTCATCAGCTTAAATAACAAATTTTGCTGAAGGGTCTATTACAATGCCATTTGTTTATAAAATAAACAAAAACGGACCTAAAATACTGCCCTGAGGCACTCCGAGATAGTTTGGTTTAGTCGTCGAAGAAACATTGTTTATAAACACGTATTGTTTCCTTTCACTTAGGTATGAGTGAAACAAGTCTAAAGCAACACCTCATACACCGTATAAATCTAGCTTACATAAAAGTAACTTCCTATTCAAAGAGTTAAAGGCTTTGCTAAAATCGATAAAGATACTGAGTACTAGTTGTTTACATTCTATACTATTCAAAATGAACTCTTTCTGATCAAGTAGAGCAAGCTCAGTTGATAAGATTTTTTTCTGAAATCATATTGTGCTTCACATACTATATTATGTTTGTGAATAAATTCTTCCAGCTGGGAATGAAGACTTTTTCTATTATTTTAAGAAATACTAGCGAAACTGAGATGGGTCTATAGTTTGCTAAGTTATTCTTATGTCTCTTTTTGTACAAGATGCACACTTTGGCAGTTTGAAATAGCATAGGACAAATTCCGTTTGTCAGACAAAGGGTAATGATTTCAGAAAGTAATTGGGTGATTATTTTGGAGGTGTATTTAATTGGTTTGATTTGAAAACCAAAACAATCACAGTATTTACAATTTGTAAGCCGCATGATTGTTTCATATACCTAGTTTTCACAAGTAGGTCTTACAAGCAGTACTTGGGCATTTATACGAAACGTATGATGTTGCAACAAGAGATGTTTCTGGAAAGGCTAAGTTTACTAGACAATTGTTAGACGTATTACATAGTTTACTGCCACTAATAACACAACCATTAATTCTAGTTTCTGTAATTATCCTATTTGAATTGGTTGTTCCTAGCACTTTATTGATGTTTTTCCAAGTAGAAGCAGAATTACCAGGTCATTGCATAAATATGTTATGAAAATAACATTCTCTAGCTTTTTGAATATCTTTATTTAGATCATTGCAAAATGGTTTGAAGATGCTAAGTAGTTGTGTGTCACGAGAAACCAGAAATGCATTATACATTGCATTCTTTTAATGAATTTGATGCAACAGGTCTCGTGTTGCATCAGGAACCGTTCCTCGGGGTCGACCGCCTTCCAATGGTGATATGTCAGACGATCGCTGCCTGGTGCTGTGTTCTTGGATTTGCAGAGTCGCAAAAATACCTCTTCCTAATTTCTTTAGATAGGTGGTGGGTGACCTGAGGGAAGTTGTGTTTATACAGTTCCTTGAATTTTTCTATGAATCTATTGACAGCAACAATCGGGTTGTCATTTGCGAGAATATCGTTCAAGGAAGTATGAACTAGTTCCTGACGAAAATTTTTAAGATTTTTTGTTGTTATAAAATGCAACGGTATAGAAAGCCGTTTCTTTTTTATTAGTTGCATAATAATTAAAATTATGGGAAGGTGATCATTTATGTCGCACAAAATGGTCCCAGGTTTAATATTCTTGTAACTAACGTTCGTTAGAAAAACATTGATTAATGTAGATGAATTGTCAGTAACCCTTGTTGGCATATTAGTCATGTTAGACAATCTGAAGCTATTAAACACGTCATCTCATGTTTAGTAGTTTCATTAGACAGCATGTAAACATTAATGTCACCACCGATAAGTAGTGACATAGTTATCCAGCATAGTATGGGGAAATAAGTTTTCCAAACGACCCGTAAAAGTTCTGATACTTCATGATGAAGGATGGTACATAATTGAGGTGACCTAATTGCCTAGGACAGCAGTCAGCATTTCACAATCAGGTTCTGAACAACAAAATTCTGTTAAGAGTTGACAATCAGGGGTTTCCTTTACAAGTAAGCAAACACCACCACCACGACTGTGGATACGATTAACACAAAAATCATTGTAACCAGGCATAGAAAATGGGTTATCATCATTTGTGTACAAAGTCTCAGTCAGCATTATGACGTCAAAACGGAAATGAAGATCTGAAAACAAGGAATCTAGCAATGCATATTTGTTTCTCGCAGACTGGTAGTTTAGCTGGAAAAATTTTATGCCAGGCATATAGTTGTCTCCAATGTATTTATGCAGATCTGATGGTAAAACAAACATGGTTCCTAAAAAGTTAAGGTATGAACGATCTTTATGTTTCAAGCCAATTTCACGAAATCCTCCCTTCTCTTTCCAAGAACGGCAGAAAAGCCATCTTTGCGTCTCATTAGAATTTTACCGTTCGCACACCACACTAAACAGACGTCATTCTCTCGCGCCCATTGTTTTGCCTCCCCATATTAGAGTTCACGTTTGTTTGGTCAAATTCTCTTGAATCATCACTTTAGATTTGTCATCCCCGAGCCTCTTACTACCATATAGCCAGCTTTCTTGAACCTACTGTTGTGAGAAACGTAGAATGATGCGTGGGGTCTTGTCCCCCTTAGAAGGAAGGCAGTGTATTGTGGTCACATCATTTCCTGTCAGAGCAGGCATCACAATCGATGCAGCAATTGTATTGACCTTTTCCAGTAAGTTCTCATGCTCAGTTTTAGGAATCCCATGAAACTCCAGACTTAGCTTTCTGTTATGCCACTCTAGTTCATTCAGTTCACCGTTTATGTCTTAATTTCTTTTCTTTTTTTGGTGTTCGAGCTTGGTTCTGCGGAATAAATTTTCTGTTTAACATCTGACAACTTGTTATCCTGTTCCTTAATGGCTGCAAGTACTCTGTCATACTTGTCAGACAGCATTTGAACACTGGCCCTGATATGAGCAACAGTATCTTTCAGGTTTTTCACTGTCTCTGTTAACTCTGCAATGGCTAAGAGACTGGGATGATCAATAACCTTTTTTGCCGGTATTCCTTTGCATGCAGGGACAACGCCACTGTTTTTTCATTGCATCAGATTTTCCTTTCTGAGGCATTCACTGCACACGATGCAATCATAATTAGGGCCAACAGACAAGCTGCATTCACAGCAAGATAAATCAGTAACAAAACACATGGAGGCAAGTTCTTGGGCAACAGTATAGGGCACAGTTAAGTGTATAGTGCCTTAAACAATAATTGGAAAGATATGTGATTCACAAACCTGTAAAACGTAGAAATGAAGTTTAGCACGCGCCTTTCCTGTGCCACTGCTGCTGCCCAAGTGAAGACGGCATCAGTGGAGCTTTCTTTTAAAGCTGCTAGAAGGCAGGTGGGTGTCCTGGTCACGTGAGGTATTCTTTGCGCACGGTTTACTGACAGCAGCCCTGTGCAAAGGATATACGTTGGTAAATTGCTCACTATGCTATTATTCACGAATGTCTGTATAAGGGAAGTGCCTGCTGTGTGTCCATTAGGCAATACGGGCACTTGTGCTGCCGCGTGATTATATATATATATATATATATATATATATATATATATATATATATATATATATATATATATATAAATATATATATATATATATATATATATAATTATGAGGAAGAGCTTTATTCGAGACGAGCTCAAGCCGGCACACACCGATGATGATATCTACAGATGAGGAAATATACGAATGATGATGACACGTCCAATTGATAAAGAAGAGTCGGTGACTGCGCTCACACTAATTCCCCGTCACGCTGGAAGCGGCCTCCTGGTCGCACGAGAGACAAGATTAGGGATTTGTCTGGTATACAGTTTCAGTCTAGAAACGTGCACAATTTCTGTCCCACGGCAACGGTAGTCGGAGGGAGCGTTAAGTGGTGAGATACGGTAAGTAACGGGGGACGTTTGTTCAATCACCGTATAAGGTACTATAAAACGACTGAGGAATTTTTCACATAAGCCGGGCACACGCACGGGAGTCCACTGAAGAACTTCGTCTCTTAAGGAAAAGATGACAGCACGGTGAGTTGAGTCGTAGCGAGACTTGCGAGCTTCCTGAGAGATGCTAGTGTTAATTCAGACCAGATGACGGCAGTGCTCGAGGCGAGACAAAAATTGTGCTGATAAAGGGCCTGCTGAGGTAGCAGGAGCCGAAAGGAAGGAGACGTCCAGGGTTACACTTGGAGAGCGGCCATGGACCAGAAAGTAGGGAGAAAAGCCGGTGGTGCGTTGCGTAGCCATATTGTAGGCGAACGTTATGAATGGCAAAATGGCGTCCCAGTTCGTGTGGTCAGGGTTAACGTACATGGCAATCATATCTGAGAGGGCACGACGAAAGCGTTCCGTTAAGCCACTTGTTTGTGGAGGATAAGTAGAAGTTGTCTTGTGAATGGTGTTGGCGGCGCGTAGAACCTCAGCAACAATAGAGGAAAGAAAGACCTTGCCGCGGTCGCTGAGCAGAACACGTGGAGCTCCATGGCGTAAAAATATGTTACGCAGAAAAAAATCTGCTACTTCAGTGGCTGTACCAGCGCGCAGGAGGCTGTTTCCGCATAACGAGTGAGGTGGTCAACAGCTGTTACAATCCAACGATTTCCATCGAGGTCACGGGAAGGGGGCCGTACAAGTCTATCCCGACGACTTCGAATGGCAAAGCGGGACAAGGAAGAGGTTGGAGAAATCCAGAAAGAGCAGTAGTGGGTCGTTTCTGCCGTTGACATAAAGCACACGAAGAAACATATTTGCAATGACGGATGAGAGGCCAGACCAGGTGATGATTGATTGATTGATTTGTGGAGTTCAACGTTCCAAAACCATCATATAATTATGAGAGACGTCGTAGTGGAGGGCTCCGGAAATTTTGACCACCTGGGGTTCTTTAACGTGCACCCAAATCTGAGTACACGGGCCTACAACATTTCCGCCTCCCTCAGAAATGCAGCCGCCACAGCCGGGATTTGATCCCGCAACGTGCGGGTCAGCAGCCGAGTACCTTAGCCACTAGACCACCGTGGCGGGGCCGAGGCCAGGTGAACCGACAGCGTATTTTGTCGTACGTTTTGTGATAGCCGAGATGCCCAGCAGCGGTATCATCGTGGTATGTCTCAAGAACCTGACGTTGTAGACAACGTGGTATAACGGGGACCCATTTGTTTCCTTTGACGTGGTAAATATAGTGATGTAAAACACCATCGTGAAGCTTGAATTGTTTCAGTTGTCGGCGAAGTCTGGCGTTCAGAGGAGTGGGTGTGCCTTCTAAGCGGGCTATTATGGAGCGGCAGTAAGAATCAACGTTGAGCGTTGTCGAGAGTGAGCAGATCGTCGCGCCACCTTTTGATCCGCACGCCCACTATTAAAAGCATTATTTGTGTTTTGTGTTGCCGCTCTCAGGTGGCACGAGCGTCAACTAGCTTCTAAAATATTAGGCCAACTGCGTGTCCGGATTTTGGAACCCAGTTTTGCAACTCGTATTAACTCTGGCACAGAATGCTGTGCGCCAACTCACAATATTGCACGTTCACAACCGAAAAAAAAAAAGCCTGGCAGATTGGGAAAAAAAGATTGTGCAAACACACAAAAAGTACATATGAATCTTATGCTATGATACTAGCGACTGCTTTACAATTACACGCCCAGTGCCGTCGATCTTGCTTTATAGCAGACGACGCATAGCGTTGTAGAAGGCACGGAGTGTTCTTTCTCTCAAGATCCGGCATGTGCTGTAGCAATTTCATCATTACAGTTTTACCAAAGCACTCCTCACAATACACAAATTTGATTTATGTCGACAAATACGCGTTTTAGAAGAAGTCACAATTTTTTTAGCGGGACTATTTCTTAAGTCGCAGAGCAAATTGGCTGCTGCGCTTTGATCATCTGGGTGGGGCCCCTCCTGCCTTCTTAAGTTGTACCTGACTGTAGTGAGAGCTCTTGAAACGAAGAACACAGCTGCACCCCCAGCGGGAGCAATGTGCACTTGCGTACATGCTGGAGCTACGACGAGAGACAACCCCCCATAAAAAGGAGCAAGTTCCTAAAACATTCCGATTGCCATGAGCATTTCTCTGATGACACGTAAAGACATAGAGTTTCCTAAATATACACTAGAGGGAACTCTGGTGCTAGTGTCTATGGGAGCTGTAACACATAGCGCTTCATAGAGCATGCGAATGATGGGTAGTACATGGGTTCGTCTAATCTTCGTACCTCTGGGTCCATGAGTGTTTCGGTGACTTGAAGCTGTTTTTCAACAAACCAAAATCGGCAAATGTTCAGCGGTCGCACTTAGCCACCTTATTCTTTTATGCTTACCATTTCAAATCAGGTCACAAAGTACAAAAAGGGTTCATTCTTTCTTTCAAAACAAAACCGAAACACAGCAATAAATGAAGCCACAAGTGCGATTCGCCGCCCACAACTACAAAGACTAGGCAAATCCATGTACTACCTATTATTCCCATGCTCGCTGAACGATCGCAACAAAATCCCCTCTTGTTAATTTTAGAAAACTCTATGCATAAAGAGGCCTTAGATAAAGTGAAGACTTACTAGGTAAAAAAAGAAACAAAAAAAAACATGGCAACGTCATGCCAGGGAGTGGTGAAGTCATTGTGGTGGTATGTGTGCTGGACCTCAGTGACTAGCATTCGGTCTTTTTTCTGAACTTTGCTATACTCACGAACAAATATTCTCGGCAATGAAGGAAACGCTATGGTGCCAAAGTGGGGGTGAGCTACCGCTGTAGAATATATAGTTTGTCACGAACTTATCTCTGGAGCGCTTGCGAAGGATGGATTTGAGTGAAACGGGAGACAGGCATGGCAAAAGAAGCAATCTTTATACAAAAAAACGGATGACGCAAATACACAAAACTCGCGTTAAAGCACTCAGTAACAATAACAAAAAATTCAATTAACACTCAATATTTCAAAAACAATTTGCATACATGGGCAAACCCGAACTTGCTGTAGTTAAGTTCCAATTCATTGCTAGTCCTAAGCAAATATGGTGTCAACAATGGAACTGTCGTACAGCTTAACGCGTTGCGACTCGTTGAAACGCGACAAGCTGCAAGCAAGTCCACAAGGAACTGCTGGGCAGAATGTGGCAAGTCCGGG